AGATAGATAGATAGATAGATAGATAGATAGATAGATAGATAGATAGAAATAACCAAAGTGGGAAAGTATGAGCAAGACAGGAAAAAGCTCTATTTGGACCAAGAAGAAATGTGACAGTAAGTAGGAAGAAAGTGGAACCCTAGCCAGAAAAGAATTAAATTAATAGACCTTAAACCTGGCCTCCCCTCTGGAGCTGCCTCTCCCCCTCGGGGCTGCCCCTCCCCCTCTTCTCTCTGCATAATCCTAGTGTCTCAAACCCATTCACACAGTGGAGTCCTCTCAGACTTTTACTTAGTTTAATGCTATCTAAGGGCAAGAGAAACTTCTACGATCTGTGAAAAGCACAAGATAGCATAGGAACGTGCACATCATGAAATTAGAAAGGGCAACATTTACTTTCAGGCTGAATTTTGCAATAAGTGTAACCCCCAAAATGACAGCACAGATTGATTTAGATGTAGCAATAAAAAAAATGCTTTATGAAGCCACAAGTCGTCTTTTGTACAAGTTTTAATTTTAGGTAATATCAAATACCAGTCTCCAGACAACTAATAGGCATATAAATTTTAAGTGTTTAACAGTCTTATAAACTGTAGCATAATTGTGCACATTTCAATCCAAAATAAGTCTTTGAATTCACTCAGTTGTTGGATGAGTATGTTTAATCTGTAGTACTGACTTGAATACTGTGGCATCAGTAGTCTAACTATGTTAAAATACTGATATACTTCATGTTGCAATGATGGTGTCATCGGAGACTGCATATATGTATATGTGTATGTGTATGTATATGTATATCTAGAGTATATATACATATATATGAACCGAGACAAAGTTAGACACAGACCAGGAGAGAAAAGAGAAACTTGTTGGGTTTAGTCTTGGAATTGTTCCTGCAGAGTTTTCTGAAAAATGACTCTAAAGTTTTTTTTTTCCTAAAAAGTTCTATCTCTCAGATTCAAAGGAGTTCTAGTTCGAATAATTTTTCATATTTCTGTTAAATGTAGCAGACTCTAATAATGTATTTTTGCCTTTGTTGCTGCTAAAGCAAGTTAAACCAGATGTCCAAGTTGTATGATGGTGATGAACTTATTGATATCCGCAAGTCATACTGGTAAGTGAGTTTGGTATTTGAAGAGAGAGAAAGAACCATTGATGGATCTCTTTCTTGTCTTTGGGAAAACAGAGCAATTACTGAGGCAAAAATGATAGGAGAAATGTGTAAAAATATCCAATAATAACCAATTGGATTTGTAGACAAGTACCATGTTTGGAAAAGCATTTTTGTCCACTAACAAGTATTAGTTTTTCTAGTTTAAAACTGATGTGGCAATTTTATTATAGCATGTCTTTAAAGAGAATTGTAGGATTCTATTTATTCTTTAACATTAGTCCTTTCTAATTTTTCCTGGCTATCTTCTGATTTCCAGTTTACAGATTTTTGTCTATGAGAAATGGTAGGTTAGTGAAAGTGAGTACATTTTGGTGATAAAAGACCTCTTCACACCCACTGAGATTTTATTATTGTACAGATGTAACAGCGTGTGAATTTACTCTCCACAACAAAACAGTGTGTTCTTAAAATCCCTTGTGTCTGATTATAGGTAGATTGAGAATTCTCTGTTAGATAGCCATCGTCAGCGTCTATCAGTGCTATAGAGAGGATACACCAGAAATGAAAGCAGCCCATCACTATTGTGATTTCTTGGCGTTCAGGTATTACATGGAAAACAAAGGTCCACCTAACAAATGCAAATAAGTCTTCCAAGTACCTAGAATTTCCACTTTAAATAACATTTAAAAAAATCTTGGACCATTCATTCCAAAAAGGTCACACTACCACTTTATTAAACTCTGTACATTAGGTAAACATTTTCTCTAGTGGAGCTGTCAGGGATGAGGTAAAATTCAGGCAGACTGAGCAAAGCAAGGATTTCCTTTTTACTTCATTGTTTAAAAGTAAGCTTCGTTGATGTGTAAGAGCTTCATATCACATGAATCCTGGGGTTCCCCCTTTCAATTCCACTTCCACCTATGGTTCCTGTGCATTTCCTAGTTATGGCGGGTATTCCATGTTGTCTTCTCACCTCTGAAGAGTTGAACCAGGAAACTGCAAGTGAGAGAGAACAGGTAGCAGGTATCTTTCTGGGTCTGGGTTGCCTCATTCATTATAATAGTTTCTAGTTACATCCATTTGCCTAGAAAATTCATGAAGTCATCATTTTTAATAGCTAAGTAGTGTGTATAAATGTACCACATTTTCTGTATCCATTCTTCAATTGAGGGACATCTGGGTTGTTTCCAGCATCTGGCTATTACAAATAAGGTTGTTATGAACATAGTGGAGCACATGTCCTTGTGGTATGATGGGGCGTCTTTTGGGTATATGCCCAAGAGTAGTATAGCTGGGTCTTCAGGTAGAACTATTTCCAATGTTTGGAGGAACCATCAAATTAATTTCCAGATTGGTTGTACCAGTTTGTACTCCCACCAGCAACGGAGGAATGTTCCCCTTTCTCCACATCCTCAACAACATGTGCTGTCAATTGAGGGTTTGATCTTAGCCATTCTGATTGGTATAAGGTGGAATCTCAGGGTTGTTTTGATTTGTGTATCCCTGATCACTAAGGACTTTGAACATTTCTTTAAGTGCTTCTCAGCCAGTTGAGATTCCTCAGTTGAGAATTCTTTTTTTTTTTTTTTTAGCTCTGTACCCCATTTTTTAATTGTGTTATTTGGTTTTCTGGAGTTTATCTTCTTGAGTTCATTATATATTTTGGACATTATCCCTATAGGATCTAGGGTTGGTAAAGAGCTTTTCCCAATCTATTGGTTGCCATTTTGTCCTATTGACAGTGTGCTTTGCCTTATAGAAGCTTTTCAGTTTCATGAAGCCCCATTTGTCTATTGTTGATCTTAGAACCTGAGCTATTGGTGTCGTGTTCAGGAAATGTTCCCCCGCCCCACCCCCGTGCAGATTTGTTTGAGACTCTTTGCCACTTTCTCTTCTATTAGATTCATCTTATCTGGTTTTATGTGGAGGTCCTTGTTCTACTTGGACTTGAGTTTTGTACAAAGAAATAAAAATGGATCAATTTGCATTCTTCTACATGCAGACCACCAGTAAGACCAGCACCATTTGTTGAAAATGCTTTCTTTTTTCCACTGTATGGTTTTGGCTTCTTTGTCAAAGATCAAGTGATCTTAGGTGTATGGGTTTATTTCTGGGTCATCAATTTTTTCCCATTGATCTACCTTTCAGTCTTTGTACCAATATCATGGTTTTTTGTTTGTTTGTTTGTTTGTTTGTTTGTTTTTTGTTGTGTTTTTTTTATCACTATTGCTCTGTAGTATAGCTTGAGGTCAAGGATGGTGATTTCCACAGACGTTCTTTTATTGTTTAGCATTGTTTTCACTATCCTGGGTTTTTTTTGTTATTCCAGATGAAGTTGAGAATTGCTCTTTCTAGCTCTGTGAAGAATTGAGCTGGAAGTTTGATGGGGATTGCATTGAATCTGTAGATTGCTTTTGGTAAGATGGCCATTTTTACTATGTTAATCCTACTGATCCATGAGCATGGGAGATCTTTCCATCTTCTGAGGTCTTTGATTTCTTTCTTCAGAGACTTAAAGTTCTTGTCATACAGTTCTTTCACTTGCTTGGTTAGAGTTACACCAAGATATTTCATATTATTTGTGACTATTGGGAAGGGTATTGTTTCCCTAATTTCTTTCTCAGCCCATTTATCCTTTGTGTAGAAGAAGGCCACTGATTTTTTGAGTTAATTTTATATCTAATTTATTATTGCTAATGTTGTTTATCAGGTGTAGGAGTTCTCTGGTAGAATTTTTGGGATCCCTTATATATACCATCATATCATTCACAAATCATGATACCTTGACTTCTTCCTTTCCGATTTATATTTATTTGACCTCCTATTGCTGTCTAATTGCTCTAACTATAACTTTGAGTACTATATTGAATAAATATGGAGAGAGTGGGCAGCCTTGTCTTGTCCCTGAATTTAGTGGGATGGTTTCAAGTTTCTCTCCATTTAATTTGATGTTGGCTGTTGGTATGTTGCTTTTATTATGTTTAGGTATGGATCTTGAATTCCTGATCTTTCTAATCTTTCTTGAATTTCCTGATCTGATGAATGAGTGTTATATTTTGTTAAAAGCTTTTTTAGTATCTAATAAGATGATCATGTGATTTTTTTCTGAGTTTATTTATATAATGGATTACTTTGATGGGTTTCCGTATATTGAACTGTCTCTGCATCCCTGGGATGAAGCTTACTTTATCATGGTGAATGATGGTTTTTGATGTGTTCTTAGATTCGGTTTGTGAGAATTTTATTGAGTATTTTTGTATCAAAATTCATAAGTGAGATTAGGCTGAAGTTCTCTTTCTTTGTTGGGTCTTTGTGTGGTTTAGGTATCAGTGTGACTTGGCTTCATAGACCAAATTAGGTAATATTCCTTCTGTTTCTATTTTGTGGAATAGTTTGAGAAGAATTAGTATGAGGTCTTATTTGAAGGTCAAATAGAATTCTGCACTAAAACCATCTGGCCCTGGGCTTTTTATAGTTGAGAGACTTTTAATGACTGCTATTATTTCCTTAGGAATTATGGGACTGTTTAGATAGTTTATCTGGTCCTGTTTTAACTTTAGTACTTGGTATCTGTCTAGAAAATCATCCACTTCATCTAGATTTTCCAGTTTTGTTTAATATAGGCTTTTGTAGTAGGATCTGATGATATTTTTAATTTCCTCAATTTCTGTTGTTATGTCTCCATTTTCATTTCTGATTTTGTTAATTTGGATACTGTCTCTGTGCCCTCTAGTTAGTTCGGCTAAGGGTGTCTATCTTGTTGATTTTCTCAAAGAACCAGCTTCTAGTTTTGTTGATTCTTTGTATATTTCTCTTTGTTTCTACTTGGTTCATTTCAGCCCCGAGTTTCATTATTTCCTGCCATCTACTCCTCTTGGGTGTTTGCTTCTTTTTATTGTAGAGCGTTCATCCATGCTGTTAATTGCTAGTGTAAGATCTCTCCAATTTTTTTATGAAGTTGCTCAGAGGTTTGAATTTTCTTCTTAGCACTGCTTTCATTGTGTCCCATAAGTTTGGGTTCAATGTGACTTCATTTTCATTAAATTCTAGAAAGTCTTCAATTTCTTTCTTCCTTGACCAAGTTATCATTGAGTAGAGAGTTATTCAGTTTCTGATAGTATATGGGATTTCTGTTGGTTTTGTTGTTACTGAAGACGAGCCTTAGTCCATGGTGATCTGATAGAATGCATGGGATTATTTCAGTCTTCTTGTATCTGTTGAGGTTTGTTTTGTGTCCGATTATATGGTCAGTTTTGGAGAAAGTACCATGCAATGCTGAGAAGAAGGTATATTCTTTTGTTTTAGGGTGAAATGTTCTGTAGTTATTTGTTAAATCCATTTAGTTCATAACTTCGATTAGTTTCACTGTGTCTCTAAGTATCTATTTACATGGTCTGTCCATTGGTGAGAGTGGAGTGTTGAAGTCTTCCACTATGATTGTGTGAGGTTCAATGTGTGTTTTGAGCGTTAGTAATGTTTCTTTTACAAATATAGGTACCTTTGTATCTAGGGCATAGATGTTCAAAATCGAGAGATCATCTTGGTGGAGTTTTCCTTTGATGAGTATGAAGTGTCCTTCCCCATTTCTTTTGATAACTTCTTGTTGAAAGTCTATTTTATTGGATATAACAATGGCTAGGTAAGCTTGTTTCTTGGGACCATTTGCTTGGAAAATTTTTTTCCAGCCTTTTACTCTGAGGTAGTGTCTGTCTTTATCACTGAGGTGTGTTTCCTGTATGCAGCAAAATGCTGGGTTCTGTTTATGAATCCAGTCTGTTAGCCTATGTCTTTTTATTATGGAATTTAGTCCATTGATGTTGAGAGATATTAAAGACCAATGATTGTTGGTTCCTGTTATTTTTGTTGTTAGTGTTGGTATTATGTTTATGTGCTTCTCTTCTTTTGGGTTTGTTATGAAATTATTAATTTCTTGGTTTTCCTTGGATGTAGTTTCCCTCATTGTGTTGGAGTTTTCCTTCTGTTGTCCTCTGTAGGGTTGTATTAGTAGAAAGATATTGTTTAAATTTGGTTTTGTCATGGACTATCTTAATTTCTCCATCTATGGTGATTGAGACTTTTGCTGAGTATAATATCCTGGGCTGACATTTTTTTGCTCTGAGGGTCTGCATGACATCTGTCTAAGATCTTCTGGCTTTTAGAGTCTCTGTTCAGAAGTCTGGTGTAATTCTGATAGGTCTACCTTTATATGTTACTTAGCCTTTTTCCCTTACTGCTTTTAATAATCTTTCTTTGTTCTGTGCATTTAATGTTTTGATTATTATGTGCTGGGAGGAATTTCTTTCTGGTCCAATCTATTTGGTGTTCTATAGGCTTCTTGTACCTTTATGGCCATCTCTTTTTCTAGATTAGGGAAGTTTTCTTCTATAATTTTGTTGAAGTTTTTTTTCTGGCCCTTTGAATTGAGTATTTTAACTCTCTTGTGTTCCTATTATTCTTAGGTTTAGTCTTTTCATTGTGTCTTCAATTTCCTGAATGTTTTTGGTTAGGATGTTAATATCTTCTATGTTATCTGCTATGCCTGAGGTTCTCTCTTCTATTTCTTGTATTCTGTTGGTGATGCTTGCATATGTAACTCCTGATTTCTTTGCTAGGTTTTCCATCTCCAGGGTTGCCTCCCTTTGTGATTTCTTTATTGTTTCTATTTCCATTTTTAGATCCTGGACATTTTTGTTCAATTCCTTCACCCGTTTGATTGTGGTTTCCTGTGTTTCTTTAAGGCATTTCTGTGTTTCCTCTTTAAGGGATGCTACCTGTTTACCTGTGCTCTCCTGTATTTTTATAAGGGATTTATTTATGTCTTCCTTAAGGTCCTCTGTCATCTTCATAAGATGGGATTTTAGGTCAGAATTTTGCTTTTCAGGTATGTTTGGGTATCCAGGGCTTGCTATGGTGGGAGAACTAGGTTCTGATGGTGCCAAGTGGCATTGGTTTCTATTGCTTATGTTCTTATGTCTCTTGCAATCTGGTTATCTCTGGTGTTAACTGGCCTTGCTGTCTCTGACTGGAGCCTATCCCTCCTTTGAGCATGGTTATGTTTGGTCTCCTCAAGTCAGGCTGTCTCTGGAAATGGGAGAGGATCTGGAACTCCTGATAGATGAGCTTGGATGTGACAGACCTCCTGGGAGTCAAGTTGTCTCTGGGTGTGGGCATGAGGGGTAGACTGCTGGAGCACCTGATCTACTCTTGGGCACAGTTATAGAACAGAAGGATAATGTGGCCCCAGAAGGTTGTATAGGGCCTGAATCCACTGGGCCCTGTGGGCATCACAGTTAGGCCATGTGGGGTGGGGTGGGCAGGGCTCACCTGTGAGCCTGGTTGTGATGGGCCTCCTGGGAGTCAAGCTGTCTCTAGATGTGGCAGGGGGCATCTGGAGCCCTAGCTCTGCCCCAGGCAGAGTTGCAGGCTGGAAGAAAGATCCAACCCCCTTAGTTTTCAAGATAGGGATTCTCTGTGTAGCCCTGCCACTGGATTTGTAGACTAGGCTGGCCTTGAACTCACAGAGATCTGCCTGTCTCTGTCTCCCAAGTGCTAGGATTACAGGCACGTGTCACCACACCTGGCCAAAGCATTTTATTTTTATGAGTTATTCCACTTGATAATTCGGTCCTAAATTGCTTGGCAAATGGAGTTCTTTTCAGAAATTTCTTTCCTACAGCTATATCTTGTAGGGAACTGCCAGTGTTTTCTTCTGGCAGTTTTAGTGTTTCAGGTTTCAACTGAGGTCTTTGATTCACTTGCATCTAATTTTCGGGTATGGTGATAGATATAGCTCTAATTTCATTCTTCTGCATAGGGACATCCAGAGTTCCCAACACCATTTGTTTGAAATTGTATTTTTACTCCTGTATTGGTTTTTGCCTCTTTGTCAAATATGAGAAGACTGTAATTACACTTGGGTCTTCTGTTCTGCTTTGTGACAATGTCATATGATTTTGTTATTGTTTTATTATAATATACCTTGAAGTCTAAAATGGCAATCCTCCAGTATTATTATTTTTGCTCACAATTACTTTGGATATCCAGGGGCTTTTCTGGTCCCATATGAATTTTAGGATTTTTTTTCCTATTTTTATGTGGAATGAAATAAAGATTTCGAGTGAGATTGAATTGAATCTTTAAATTGCTTTTGGTAGGATGGTCATTTTCACAATATCAGTGCTAGCAATTTATGTCTTATTTTTGAAGTCTTGTTCAGCTAAACTGGCTAATCATCTCTTCTCTATTCTTATTCTCAGAATAGAATTCTTTGCTCTTTGTTCATAACCCTGTCTTTTCATGGTACACACCAAATCCTGTGGATACATCCCTAGATCACAAGATTCAGGAACTCAGACCCAACCTAGAATGAAATGTTTTCTTTGCTTATTAACTTGTCCCAAGTCTACTTTTCTCTTCCAAGGACAAGCACAGTTATAAAGCACAAAGGCTCACTGTCCTCCTCTTCTAACCTACGCGACCCCCACTATTCTACAAGGGAGGGAAACATTCCACCCTTAATTCTAACTTTATTATGGCTTTCTGGTAAAACAACTTAAACCTTCTCCTCAAACTTACTCAACTACCCTAACTTCTTAAAACAAAATCAAATCTGGAATTCTGTAAAATCATTAATTCATCTAACCAATATTATTTTATGAGAATTCATCTTCATATTGATGTGTAGGAAAACTGCCCAATAGAGTGGGCCATCTTCAGAAAGCTCACTGCAGCTCCACTTGCATAGCATCAGCCATCTCTCCCGTGATTTGCCCAAGATCCTAATTTGCTAATGGGAGAGCAGACATTGGACTATTTCTTCTCTAAGCACTCTTCTCTGTCCCCATGATACTTTATTTGATTAGTCTCTAGCCCAAGGTTCCCTTAAAGTTGGAGCTGGAACTTTACACACAGAAGATAAGTTACTAAATATCCAGCACATGGTGTTTTATTTACATATACTCTAGATAGGAACAAAAATGTAAACATTTTACTTAGTAACACAGAACATTTGGTATGCAGCTGATGAGAACTTTTATTTAAAATTTATACTTATAAAGGGCTTCATTTTGCTAAGTTCATAACATGATGGGGGAGTGTGTGATTGATACAGTTTTACTAACTTTTATAGGAACACAGTTAAGAAATTTGTGCAAATCCTTGTGTCCTCGGTTGCCTTCAGGTATGTGAATGAATAGAAATGAAAGTAATTAAATGTCTATGACATTTAATTTTAAAAGTTTAATGAGAAAGGACCTCCAAAAACCAAGACAGAACAAAGTAAAAGGATGTCCATTGTCAATATGTTGCTAATTAGCTCATGAATTCACATTTAATGTGGTCTAGTCTATCTTAGAAGTTTGGTTAAAACTGGACATTACAAAGTACAAAGAAATAACTTTTGCTGAAAACTAAATCGTGGCATATTAATATTTTCTTACTCAGAAATGTAAAAATAACAAAGCATGTATTCTATAAGTATATATTCTGTAATTATAAGCTAAATCTTCTATACACTCAAAATTACTCAATTCCAGAACTATTTTACTTAGATTTCTTTTCTACATGATGACTCAGATTTATATAACATAACTTCTTCCTTTAAAATTAATATTGTAAGCCGGCAGTGGTGGCGCACACCTTTAATCCCAGCACTTGGGAGGTAGAGGCGGGTGGATTTCTGAGTTTGATGACAGCCTGGTCTATGGAGTGAGTTCCAGGACAACTAGGGCTGCACAGAGAAACCCTGTCTCGAACCCCCCCCCAAAAAAAATTAAGATTGTATGTGTATGATGTTTTATCTATTTGTGTAGGCATGTGTACATGTATTTGCAGGTACGTGTATCTCTGTATGTGTGTAACTGTGTGTGTATGTGTATCTCTGTGTGTGTGTGTTTGTTTGTATGTATGTGTAGTGTGTATTTGTGTATATATGTCTAGGTGTATGTATTTATATGTGCATGTCTGTGTGTTTATGTTTGTGTGTGTATGTCTGTATATATGTGTTTGTGTGTGTGTTTGTCTGTGTGTGTATGTTTGTGTGTATATGTGTATATGTGTGTGTGTGTATGTATGTATGTATGTGTCTGTAATATAAGGCCACAGATCAACATCAAGTATATTTAGTCTCTTGTCATCTTGTTCTTTTAAAATAGGGCTTCTCATTGTACATAGTGCTCATTGATTAAGCTAGGTTGACTGACCAATGAGCTCCAGGGATCCTTCTGTTTCTGCCTCCCTAGAACTGGGATTACAGGTGTGGTACTGTTCCAAACTTTGCATAGGTGCTAAGGATGGACCTCAGGTCTTCAAACTTGAATGACAGATGTTTTACTACTGAGCTATCTTGCTAATTCCAGAACTAAGAATATTTCAATTGACTCTTTAATCGTTAAAGAAAAACACTTTAAAGTTGAATTGATTCATCTTAGTAGTTTAGGAAAATAGTTAATTTATAAGGAGGGCTTTTTAAAAAATATATTCAAGAAAAGGGTTAGGGACACTTAAGAATGCAAGTAATCCTGGAAATATTTATGGAATTGAATTCTTTCTCATGTGTCCACCCTGTATGCAGGATCTATGTGTGCACCCATGAGTATAATTAATCAGGCATTTTTTGAAAATTTCACTGAGAAAAACTTAATGGTTACAGCATTTTTAGAAGGGACTATATTACTCATTCTCACCCCTTTTTGTGCTAAAGTCTTAAATGTATTTGGATAAATGTTATTTATTTAATTATGATGACATTTGTAAAAAAAAAACTCCTTATTAATTCTGAGCATTAAAGTTTATACCAAGAAGCTTGTGACTTTAATTCAGATTTGTTGTTCTGGCTTGGAGTACTAAATCACATTCCTGCCATAGGCAGTGGGGAGGGAGGGGCTTGGTACATACTTTATCTATTAACCACTACTTTTATTGGGTGAAAACTGAACATCTTTCTAAAGATTCTAAAGCAACATTGTTCTTTACCTCATAGGACAATTCAGGTCTAAATAAGGACTTTGGGAACATCTGATCATTGGCTTTAATATTGTGTAACTATATGGAGGTAACACCTCCACTCTATTTATTTATTTATTTTAGACTATTTGGAATTTTCCTGATCATTCTGGATGTATTTCTTGTGGCTATCGATCTACATGACGTTGAAAACAAAATTTTTATTCCTTTGGGATATCGTTACATTTCCTTAGCCATTGCTTTATTTTTCCTTGTGGATGTTCTTCTTAGAGTGTATGTAGAAGGGTAAGTGTGATTCTGTTTTATTTAAGCATAAAGCCATTTCTGTAGTGATGTGAGACGTATTCTATAAGAACCGTCAGATCAGCTCGAACAGTGGGTCCTTTTTCATCAAAATAATTCTCTTTGTAGGTATGTTCCACAGAAAAACCTAAAACCAGTTTTGTGTAGCGTGTCTTTATCGCTACTATCATTGTGCCTATATGTATAATTTATTGCAGGTGATTCCACAATTGCTAAAAGTCAAACGGGCTTCAAGGATGAGAAAGGCAACGACTGTGTGTATGTGTACATGACTAAAAGAAACATGTATGTGATACACAAATTCTTTTTACTTGACTTGAATTCCAAATAAGATTTTATGACACATTAAAGAATACATCATAAATAATTCATATTTCAATGAAAATAAAAGCTTTAATTTTAGTGCACAAGAGTCCAGAGGCATGTTCTTCCCAATAACGGCATTTACAGTAAAACAGACATTGACCTCTGCTTACAGGTTTCCAAGCAGATGAGTAGGGGAGTCACACCTTGAGGTTGGGTTGCTCTGGAAGTCAGGGATAAGTTCTTCAGCTTCGTTTTCTTCTCAGAGCATCCCAGAGTACAGTTTCTCTACTGTCCTAAGACTTCTTTTTATCTTCATGTCCTGTTTTGAGCTAAAGACAATTGTCTACTGCCCAGTTTCTTGTTGTCTAAAGAAGGCTTTCTTAGCATTTTCTTCAGTGATGTAGCCATTGGTAAGGTGCCTGTGCTTCTGTGAATCATCCCTCCGCCATATTCCTGTCAGGAACCCTAACCAAACTCAGACCACAAAACAGACCAAAAGTAGAAGGGTGCCAGGTGGGAGGAGGAAGGCATTAGCAGGAGGCAGAAACAAGAGAGGATAATGGAAGTGAATATGCTCAAAATATTTTACTCACATGTATTAGAAGTCAAAATGAAGCGTATAATTTGTATAATTTACAAGCGCAAATAAAAGCATAAAGAAATCCCTTACCACATTGAAAAACATCAATCTAAAAGTAGATGCTATCTCAGAATCAGAAAAAACTTTCTCTAGGAGACCAATGCTCATGTCTGAAGAAAGAAAGTCTGTTTCTGCCCTAGGTAGATTATATCAGCTCATCGAAACTCCAGTATGCATAAAAAAACAGATCCTGAGTCTAAGAGTTGAACCCTCTCTGTCCACAGGCTCTTTTTGTGCACTCTCTCAATCACAATTTCTTTAAGTTCCATATTCAGTTTAATTTGCTCACCAGCAGTGCACAGCATCTCACTTCCCTACCTACATAGGAGAAGGCAGTGATTGCCTCCCGTGCGATGGTTTAGTCCTACTTCTTACTTATCAAGTATGAATTACTATCTTGACACTTTTAGATAGATAGATAGATAGATAGATAGATAGATAGATAGATAGACAGATGATAGATAGATGATAGATAGATGATAGATAGATGATAGATAGATAGATAGATAGATAGATGATACATAGATAGATGATAGATAGATAGATGATAGTTAGATAGATAGATGATACATAGATAGATGATAGATAGATAGATAGATAGATAGATAGATAATAGGTTTGGCCCCAGTAGACTCATATGTTTGACTCCTTGGCCAACAGAGAGCGGCACTACTAGCAGGTGTGGCCTTGATGGGGTAGGTGTGCCATGATGGAAGTGGGCTCAAGCTACAACCAGTGCAGAAGGTCGTTTCCTCCTGGGTGCCTGCAGATTAAGATGTAAAACTCTCAACTCCTCCAGCCCCACCTCTACCTCCACATTGCCATGCTTCCTGCCATGATGAGAATGGACTAAACCTGTGATGCTGTAGAGGTGCCTTGATCATCCTGGCCCCTCACAGCAATGAAACCCTAAGACAGAAGTTGGTACCAGGACTGGGTGTTGCTGTGTTAGGCCTGATCATGTTGGGGTCTTTCTGTTATTGTTGTTGGTTGTGGTAGTGGGTTTTTTTGGTTGGTTGGTTGGTTTTGGTTTTTTGGAGGAATGTGTATTTGAGAAGTTTGGATTTGGAAAGCGGTAGAATGCTTTAAGTGGGGCGTAATGGGAATATGGAAGACACTGGTGATGAGGGTGATTTGAGCTCTGGGGCCCTGCTTAAGAGGTTTTAGAGAAGAATTTCAGAATGTTGCATAGAGATCATATTTGTTATGTTTGGGTAAAGAATGTGACTGCTCTTTGTGCTTCTCTGAAGAGTCTGCCTGAGGCTAAAGTGAAGAGATTCAGATTAATTGTATTTAGAAAGAAATCTCAAAGCAGCCTAGCATAGACTCTGCCCTGTGGTTCACTTATGTTTTGATCAAGCATAGCAAGCTTAGAAAGGAAAAAAAATACAAAAATGTATAAGGAGCACCAAGAAGCTGTATGGAGCCAAGTCCTGTATTAAGTGAACGGTGACCTCAGGACAAGATCCCACCCAGCTACGCTTCCATCTTGTGAAAAGGCTGTTGGAAGGGGGATGTTGCCAACTATTCCAAATTTACTATGTGTTTGTGGTTGTATGGGGGGCAGTTATATCATGCTAGGCATTATTATGACCTGGTTATTATTTTAATTTGGACATAAGGGGACATGATTGTGTGTTGAATTGACATAGAATGGATTGTGATGGCTATTCTCAGTTGTCAACTTGACTATATCTGAAATGAACTACAGGCTAAAAATGGAGGGCACACTGTGCTCCGGATCTTGAGGCAGGAAGACAACACACCTTTAATCAAGATCTTGAGGAATAGTGGCCATGTTTATAATGAAAAGGAATTAAAGAAAAGCTTAGGTCAGGGCATGGTGGTATGTGCCTTTAATCCCAGGACTCAGAAGACAGATCTCCGAGTTCAAAGTCAGTCCACAGAGAATGTTCTGACACAGCCAAGCTTAGGCAGTGAAGGAAACTATGAAAACAAAAAGCTGGTGCAAATATAATGGAATGAAATGGTCATGTTTCAGTCCCAGCAAACAGCAGAACATGGCAGCTTAGGCCACATGGCTCTGGCTTTAGACTCAAGAATAGAAGGGGTTACTGGGACAACTAAGGTTGGTTATCTGGAGCTAAGAAATTAGCAGTGATTTAGAAGAAACCAGCATCACTGAGGTAAAATCTTCTGGGAAGTGTTTTCTGAGAGCACAAAGAAGCTGTATTCTTGAAATAGCCAAGGTTGTAGCTCTTCTTGACAGCCATATTTGGTAATGTGTAAGAATCACCTAGGTGGTACTGGTTTTGAAGTCATGAAGGTGAGTCATGGACTGCAGCTGAGGCTTGGCACTGTGAGAGGTCAGGGAAGGCCATTGGTGAAGGTGGAGCCTCAGTAGCAGTTGATGTTGAAGCTTGACACCATGAAGAGAGAGCCTATGAGAGGCTGTTGGTGAAAATATAGCCTAGTTGCAATGGAAGATCCCAGAATAATGGAGATGTCAGTATTATGGGGTGATCACCAAGAATAGCAGCAGCAGTGGAATAGAGTCATCCAGAACCAAGATTAGCTGTGTGTGCTCCGGCTGTGTATGCCGCAGAGGGCAGAGCTGCAGAGGGCAGAGCTGGAAAAGTGACCCAAGCCCTTTGGAGGATCCTAGAAGATCATGTGTACCTCAGATTTTGAAAAAAGAAACTGTGAGGTTCCAGTAGCCTTGGAGACCCCAAATGTTAGAGATGCCAGAGCCATAGGACACCTGCCAAGGAAAGCTGCTAACAGGGAGTGGAACCAGCCCAACAGAAAGAATTGTGTTGCAGTCAACAAGGCGGAAAGGAGCTGGGCATGAGACACGGAGAGGTAGAGTTTGGAGTTTGCCCAGCTGGTTTCTGGTCCTGCTTTGGTCTGGTAGTATGACTTTTTGGAATGACAATGTATATTCTGTGGTGTTGAAAGTATGTGATCTGCTTTTTTTATTTTGATTTTTACAGGTGGTTGCAGTTAAGATATTGCATGAATCTCAGAAGAGACTTTGAACTTGGGACTTTTAAATATTTTTGAGACTGTGATAGACTATGGGGACATTTAAGGTAGAGTTAAATGCATTTTGCATTATGTTATGGCTAAAAGCCTGTGGGGCCCAGGGAGTGGAAAACACTAGTTTGTATAGGTTTGGCCCCCGTAGACTCGTGTGTTTGAATGCTTGGCCCACTGGAAATGACACTCTTAGGAGATGTGGCCTTAGTTAGGCATGGTCTAGCTGAAGAGAGTGTGTCACAATGGAGATAGGCTTTGAGGTCTCACATACAAGCTCAAGGTGCACCCAGTGCAGCTCCTCCTGGCTGCCTTCAGACTGAAATGTAGGACTCTCAGCTCCTCCAGTCCCACATCTGCCTGCACACTGCCATGATTCCTGCCGTGATGATAATGGACTCATCTTCTGAAACTGTAAACCAGCCCCAGTTGAATGTGTGTATTTCTTTATAAACCTTCTCTTGGTCATGTTGTCCCTTCACAGAAATGAAACCCAAAGAAAACTAAGAAGGATGGATGATAGAGATAGACACATTAATAGAAATTTACTAACTGAAAACTTTAAAATCGATATTCCAATTGTTCCTTAGTCCAGTATTCTTGACAATGTATTCATTTCAAATATTAAGGCAGAATTCCTTTTTTTACTTTGGTGAACTAGCAAGTTTATTGAAATTCCATATAGAAGGGGACAAAACAGCAATCAATAGATTAGGAAAAGGTCTTTACCAATCCTACATCCGATAGAGGGCTAATATCCAATGTATACAAAGAACTCAAGAAGTTAGACTCCAGAGAATCAAATAACCCTATTTAAAATGGGGAACAGAGCTAAACAAGGAATTCTCAACTGAGGAATATTGAATGGCCGAGAAGCATCTAAAGAAATGTTCAACATCCTTAGTCATCAGAGAAATGCAAATCAAAACAACCCTGAGATTCCACCTTACACCAGTCAGAATGGCTAAGATCAAAAACTCAGGTGACAGCAGATGCTGGCAATGATGTGGAGAAAGAGGAACACTCCTCCATTGTTGGTGGGATTGCAAGCTGGTACAACCACTCTGAAAATTAGTCTGGTGGTTCCTCAGAAAAATGAACATAATATTACCTGAGGACCCAGCAATACCACTCCTGGACATATACCCAAAAGATGCTCCAACATATAACAAGGACACATACTCCACTATGTTCATAGCAGCCTTATTTATAATAGCCAGAAGCTGGAAAGAATGTCCCTCAACAGAGAAATGGATACAGAAAATGTGGTACATTTACACAATGGAGTCTTACCCAGCTATTAAAAAGAATGACTTCATGAAATTCTTAGGCAAATGGATGGAACTGGGAAATATCATCCTGAGTGAGGTAACCCAGTCAAAAAAGAACACACATGGTATGCACTCACTGATAAGTGTTAGCCCAAAAGCTCAGAATACCCAAGGTACAATTCACAGACCACATGAAGCTCAAGAAGGAAGACTAAAGTGTGGATGTTTCCGTCCTTCTTAGAAGGGGGAACAAAATACTCATGGGAGGAAATATGGAGACAAAGTGTGGAGCAGAGACAAAAGGAAAGGCCATCCAGAGGCTGCCCCACCTGGGGATCCATCCCATATACAGACACCAAACCTAGACACTATTGTGGATGCCAAGAAGTGCTTGCTGATATAGCTCTTTCCTGAGAGGCTCTGCCAGAGCCTGACAAATACAGAGACAGATGCTCGCAGCTAACCATTGGACTGAGCACAGAGTCCCCAATGGAGGAGTTAGAGAAAGGACTGAAGGAGCTGAAGGGGTTTGGAACCCCATAGGAAGAACAATAATATCAACCAACCAGACCCCCCAGAGCTCCCAGCGACTAAAGAACCAACCAAAGAGTACACATGGAGCGACCCATGGCTCCAGCCACATATGTAGCAGAGGATGGCCTTGTTCAGCATCAATGAGAGGGGAAGCCCTTGGTCCTGTGAAGGCTCAATGCCTCAGTGTAGGGGAATGCCAGAGCAGGGAGGTGGGAGTGGGTGGATGGGTGGGTAGAGGAGCACCCTCATAGAAGCAGGGGGAGTGGGGATGGGATGGGGGTTTGGAGAGGATACTGGGAAAGGGAATAACATTTGAAATGTAAATAAATAAAATATCCAATAAAAAATAAAAATAGAAGAAATTGTCTACAGAAGCATGAGCAGCTTGAACCAGCTGTGTTACTAAATATAGCTCTATCCCAGCATAGGCAAGGACCCTCAAAGTCTGTATGGCTAAGCATCAATCCCAGCCAACCCACAAAACATATGTGCTTAGGACAGAATTGCATCCAGCTGACAGGGTGGGGACCATGGGCCAGTAAGTGGGTTAGAATCTCAGGAGCGTGTAGAACAACACACCTAATTCTTCCTGGGACTGCCATGAAGGCTAAAGATCGAGTCCTTCGTGAAAAACTTGTACTCTGAAACTTTGCCGTCTCCCCACTCCAGGAGACAGAGCTATTTCTCTGACGTACTGAACACCCTAGACGCTGTGGTCATTGGCGTGACTCTGCTCGTGGCTGTCGTCTACGTACTTTACGACAAACACTTTCTCACAGATATCCCAAGGTATGAGACACTCAGCTGACCTCTCAAATCTCCCCTTCTGCGTTGTCTGTTCCCTTTTTTTGTTGTTATTGTTGAATTTCCCTGGTTTTCTTTAATATTTTTAACTCTGAACTCTCTGGTCACATGCCAGGTAAGTGGGTTGAAAGTGAAACGTTTATAAAAAACAACAACAACAAAAAAACTTCCACGCACTTTGAAACTAAAAGACACTGGCATGTAGGGTTCATTTAAGGGTGTACCTCTAAGAATCTTTAGCTGAATGAAAGACAACGTACAAAGGAAATAAAAACTAGACTCAATTCTTACGTCTACTTTAATTCTATGATATCAAATTATCTCTGACTCCAATGCAGATGTGTAAAGAGCAGCAAGGAGCCAGGAGGTGACACAGGCAGGCGGCTGTGGGGTGGTGGGGGTTGCAGCATGGTTGTAGTAGAATCGAGAAAACTCTGGTAAAGCCCGAGCTGTCAGGATGTACTAGGAGAGTTCCTTCTTCTTCACCTCATCCCTCTCCCTCGCTCTCACCCTCCTATTGACTGTGGCAAGGTAGAAAGAAGAACGTGTGTGTGTGTGTCTGGATGAAGATGGGGAGGTAGGTTTAACGTTTGTCAAATAACTGGTTTCTCTTGGTACCCTAACTTCTCATGATTTCAATCCAGGATTCAACTAAATGTTCTGTGTGTTGGAACCTAAGCGTCTCTCATGAGCCACCGGAGAGACACTGAATTACTGGCTCTGGGGCCTATTACCCTACACTTCATTTTTATTTATTTTTATTTTATATGTATGGGTGTTTTGCCTTCATGTATGTATGTATATGTGTATGTATCTATATATGTATATGTGTGTATGTGTGCCACATGTGAGTGGTGCCTGCAGAGAGACTACAACAGGGCCTTGGGTCCCCTAGGACTGGAATTGCCGATGGTTCTCAGCTGCCATGTGGGTGCTGGAAATCAGACCCCGCTCCTCTGCAAGAGCAGCCAGTGCTCTTCACTGCTGAGCCGTCCCTTCAGTCCACACCCCATGCTTTATAGAACTTTAAAGAGCTTTTCCAGGTGGCTTGTTCATGTGGCCTCAAATTAAGAACCCAGAGTCTCAGAACAGTAGTTGTCACCTTTGGTGTTTTTGATGACAGGAGAAGCATCAGCCAGCTTACTTGGTCAGTATTTCAATCTGTTTTCAGACGTGTCTTCACCAAGAATACTGCTTTCCTGCTTACTTATATAAACAGCACAGGTGATGATTGATGAACACACACACACACGCACAGACACACACACACATACATGTACGCACACACGCACACACATGCTCATACACATGCACACAAGGAAGGAAAAGGAAAAAGAGAAAAACACTCATGTTAAACCACAAATTCTGAGCCTGTCTTTCCCAAACTTAGCATTATTTACATTTTAGGCCAGAAAATTCTGGAAGAGGGTGCCATTTGTGATGAAGTGTTTATCAACATTCCCTGCCTTTACACACTTGATATCATAGCAACACACCAAGAAAATAGTACGGCAATCAAAAATGTCTGTGGACATTGCCCATTGTCCTCTACATGGGGATAAAACAACACTATTCTGACCAAGAACCACACCGTTCCAAACTGAATTCAGAACAAGAACAGGTCAATGGAGAGTAACCTGCCAATCATGCACAGGGCCTTGGCCTTGGTCCACAGGACCACTAAAAATAAACAAATCACTAGTTATAAAAGTATTAGACCTAACCCATATTAATCAAATGTTCTGTTTTTAATAAGTAATTAATTTTAAAAGTGTTACCCTTAATCTGTATTAACCAAACATTCTGTTTTCGTAGCAAAAAAATGAATATTTAAATTTTTACCTATACATTGATTTAGACTGGCAGTTTTACTTCGGCCCCTACGACTGCTCATTTTGGTAAGAATTTTGCAACTGGCTCATCAAAAGAGACAACTTGAAAGGCTGACCAGGCAGCTGGTGAGTGATGGTGCACGTTTGCGTTGCGTTTCAGGGAGATACATGTGAGGTTTGTAGATACATGTATAATCACATTTTTTACCTGTTGATTTATGGCTTACAACTTTATGATTTCCCAAATCCAGGTTTCGGGTAACAAGCGACGCTACAGGAAGGACGGCTTCGACCTAGACCTCACCTACGTCACTGGTTGGTAAAACTTGCCCATTGGTGTTGTTTATAAAAACTTTGTATTCTGCTTATGAGCCATAGGTACCACATTCTCCTTTATTTCTGCCAAGTTATGTTGTTCCAAAGCATTCTTTACCCACGAGCACATATGTCACTGTGGCAGTATGACCTGGACAATGGAAGTATCTGTTCATGTCATTTCAAACTAGAGCCACTTGATTGTGGTACGGGAGGTGGGATGGGTTATAGCTTGAAATATTTTTAGGTAAATTTCCATTTATTCAGAGATTTGATCCTAGTACCAAGGATCCCAAGAATCTTTGTAATCTTTTTACAACTCCAGAAATGGAAGTTTTTACTCTGTTGATTTCAGATTTCCTGAGTCATGTGGACCCTAATCACTAAGGGACTTGCTGCCTTCCTAGAGCCCGGTCCAGGTCCGAGTCCAGGTCCGGGTCCAGGTCCGGGTCCGGGTCCGGGTCCGGGTCCGTTTGGGTCCGTTTGGGTCCGGGTCCGGGTCCGGGTCCATTTGGGTCCGTTTGGGTCCGGGTCCGGGTCCATTTGGGTCCGTTTGGGTCCGGGTCCGAGTCCGGGTCCATTGGTTTAGTTTGCTAAAGAAAAGAAATTATAGTCCCATTGATAAAATGAGAGACTTAGGGCAACAAGAATCTATGGCCCAGGGATGAACAAACTGAGTCTTAAGATAACTGTGCTAGTTTAATATTATTACTATATTGGATAATTTAATGTTTTATATAATTTTGATTATTATGAGAATGTGTTGTTTCTTCTATTCTGAATGTTATTTTTTATTTAAAAAAGGAGTTTCATTATATGTTGATGAAATTTTTGTCTGTCGTGCTGTCTCTATCACAATATTCATTATAGTGATTACTTTGACTTCCAGAGCGTATTATTGCCATGTCGTTTCCATCATCTGGAAGGGAGTCCTTCTATAGAAATCCAATCAAGGTAAGGCTATTCCCACAGCTGGTGCTCACTGCTCAGTGAGTGTATGCTGGAATCAGAGGCTTGACACGAACAACCCCAATATCCTTGCAAAGGCTATTCTTTCCGCCAGAACTCACAATTGGTTGTCATCAATCTACCTTTGCTGTTTATAAACTGCTCAAAATTTTACTGACTTATAACCCCTACTTTATAAATTCACCATACAGTGGCTTATCAGTTCGTGTTATGCTTTTACTGTGTGGTACTAGTGAGCCAGGACAGGACTGGCTGTCTCAGCTCATGCACCTGTGGGCAACTACGGAGTCATCTGAGGGTTCCCCAGTCCTCAGTAGCTTGGCTAGGTGGCTCTATATGATATCTGTTCTTAAAGCCAGATTCCTCTGTTCAGCCCAACCAGGCCAAAGTGTGGCCTTTTTCACATAGCGACAACGACAAGGGTTATGAAACAGCAATGACAAGAGCCTGCAAAGCCCCATCCTTTAGGATGCATACTCACCCCTCCTGTGATCGCCTCTGCCATTCTAGTTAGCCAAACGAATTACAAAGCCAGGCTTGATGAAAGGAACAGAAAATAGAGTCTCTCTCGTGACTGCAAGGTATTGTGGTCATGTTTTTGCAATCTTGTCAGAAGGAAGTAAGGAAATGCTACATTATAAGTAAAATAGTTTTTTTTTAAAACTAATTTACCCTTTGAGAATATGTCATACATTTCTGCAATGTATTTTGAGCATCTCTCACCCCATTCCTCTGCAGCAAATTCCCCTCTCAACCTCATGTCTTCTTCCTCATTATGTTTTAATAACCCATTGCATTCTATTCGAGCTGCTTATATGTACACGGCTTGTGGCCATTCACTAGAGTGTGTGCAAACTATCAGAAGCCACACTCTCAAAGAGAGGAAAAACCCTCCCAAGCAGTCATCACCTGCCAATGGCCGCTCAATGGAGCCCACCGTGTTCCTCCCTCACACATACTCACATTGACCAGCTGGAACGTTTCACAGCAACCCCCATCTTCCAACCCCTTCATTCTTACCTACCTTCCATGATGTTCCCTGAGCTGTGTGTGGGGGTGGATGGAGAGAGGAGGGGTTGTGCAGATGTCCCATCCAGGGTTGAAAATTTATAGTCACTCATTTTCAGCACTCTGGCCAGTGATGAAAGTTCCAACACTTAGCAGAGAAGCATTTTGCAAATAGTAGCATCTGTGAATAGAAAAAGTCCGTTTTCTTCAAGTGACACTGGATACGTCAACCACACCCCAGTGCAGGCCTCATGCTCAGAGTGGTTAGCCAACACAAATTAGATTCCATGTTTCCTGGCAGCTGTTTTCTTTGCTTTTAATTTTTTTTTTAAGAGATGGAACATGAAGTTGGGTGAGTAGGGAAGGGGAAGATCTAGGAAGAGTTGAAGGATGGAAAAGAATGCAATAAAATATATGCTCTATAAAATGATGAAAGAGGCCGGGCAGTGGTGGCTCACACCTTTAATCCCAGCACTTGGGAGGCAGAGGCAGGTGGATTTCTGAGTTCGAGGCCAGCCTGGTCTACAGAGTGAGTTCCAGGACAGCCAGGGCTACACAGAGAAACCCTGTCTCGAAAAAAAAAAGAAGAAGAAAGAAATGATGAAAGAATAAATAAAATGTCATTAGGTGGGCTGTGATTATATTCATATTTATACATCCTTATAATTGTTAGAGTAAAGTATACGTTAACTTGAGTTGATCTTAAATGTGTATCTTAGTGAAACTGCGTACACCTTGTCAAAGTATTAAGCATCTTTATGTTATTGTTTTCAGTATCCTATCATGCTAGATGTAATCATTATTTTTAATTCTGTCACCAATCTTTCATCAATTTCACATAAGTATAATCATATTTTGTGACTGTTTTTTTATCCTCAAAATGAATTATTTGTATTCACCCAATAGTGTTTTATATATAATAGTAGTTCTTTAAAAAATAACATCACTACTTATCATAATATAGAAAATAGAACCACTTATACAAAGAAATCATTTAATTACATACTACCTCATACAGAGTCAGTGAACACACTGTAGCCTACAAAACTCCATATTGTAGGAATCTCAAAATTATAAATGTCAACAAGTATAGCTGAAGGAAGACACTGGACACCCATACTGGCTTTTTCACAAACTATTAAAGTCATTTTTTGTTGTTGAGATCTCATTATTAACTATTTATCAAAAGATGTAAAAAGAACTCTCCAAAAATTACAAAAGTAAATACAATTCCTGTCAATAAGAAAATCTTTCTGTAAAGGTTTTCTGAGGAGACATTTGGTAAAAGGCTCCTGAAGGAGACATTTATTTGAATTGTAGATAGGTTCCTGTCGGTGAGGCTTGCATCTCTCCTTGAGAAAATCCTAGTCAGCTTATTAGCATGTCTGTTGTCTTTGTTCAGCTCATGCTTAGGCAGTCAGGTTGGTGAGACTTCGTGGGTGTGGCTTCTGATGTTACTAGGAAACAATCTCACAGCAGCCCCCCTGCTCCTCCTGCTCTTAGAATCTTTCCTGCCCCCCCCCTTTCTGCAATGATTCCTGAGCTTTACGTATAGGAGTTGTATCGTAGGTGTATCCGTTGGCATTGTGCACCACAATTCTGCATTTTTATTCATTGTAGTTTATTTTGTAGTGGTCTCCACCTGTTGCAAAGTGAAGTCTCCTTGATGAGAGGTCAGGACTACACTTACCTGTGGGTTTAAGGACAAATATTTAGAGTGTAGTTAGGGACTAGGCCGGTTTAGTAAAGTAGCAATTGTAGGTTCTCCTCCAAGATCTATGACTTCACTAGCCCTGACTCATTGGCTAGGCTTCCAATACCTTGTTTGGCTTCCATCTGTTGAGAGAGTCTTAGAGAGCTGTGGGTTATCATCAAGGTATGGCTGCCACTACTGTACTGTTAAGGTTGCCATGTTGGTCACAGTTGTGGCTTATATGTGTCATAGCTGGGTAGGACTTTGGGTTGGTTTTCTCCTTTGAAAGCATGTGTGGTTTCCAAAGGTGCCAGACTATATCATGAGAGTCATCACGGAGGGGGTTTTCATGTCACTGTATGATATGGGTTTAAATATGTCAATTTGAAAATATTGAGTTTAGACTTGTCAGTGTGCTTTGCATCCTTCTAGATGGAACAAATACAAACTTGTCAATAAAGCATGTTCATTCATATCTAATCTACTTCCCCAAAATGGCCACTCTTAAGCTTTATGGATAGCACATCTGCTAATAGATACTGTTTTACGGTAGACTAAGCTGGCAACTCTGAGTTATAGTTTGCTTAAATCAAGCCATTTTTCTTTTTATAAAACTGGCCTCAATCTAGTCATATTTAATACAAGCTAGATTGTTACCCCAAAAACCCTCCATTTAGCTGAAAATCAAAACAAAGGCATTACTTAAATGATCTCTAGACTATAGGTTTCAATCAGTTATTAAACTGTTATCTCCTTGGATGTTGATTGACAGTTATTGATTCCTTTACTGTTTTAATCAAAATACTCAAAGGCAATCTATTTTCATAAAGTGCATAAGATACCAAAATAGCATAGCTACTGGTTGAATGACTATTTAGTCTTTCATTCAGAATGCAGGCTCAAACATAAGCTATTAGTTCAGCCATGGAGAGCTTCAGTGGACCCATTCTCAGTGAAAACAGCCTGCTCATCTTGGACAGGATGTCATTTTAAGTTGAGGTTGACAAATGAATGAAGGACTGACATCTGTGGACACTTAGCTCCTCACAGGATGCTAAAACATGGTTTCCTTAATCTTTAAAAAGAAATGATGTTAAGGATATGGTGGCCCTTTGAGGGGGGTCCCTGCAGGTATCCAGGCAGGAAGCCAACCTTGAAAAGAGATAAGAATAAAATCCTGGTGCGGATTGACTGTGACAACTTGGGTCAGAGTCTGATGCCAGGCATCATATTTAAAACACAGTACAATTTGGGAAAAGGTTTCCAGGCAACAATCAGTCTAATTCCAGGTGTACAATAAAGCTTAGGGTGTGACCACGTAGACACTCGGTTACAGAGTACATGTGACCACAAGGGTGGGTTCTGTAGCTACAAGCCCTAGAATCTAATGTGATCTCTGACCGATAGTAGAGGTCAGCCGGCCATAAAGTACATGTGACATCTGCCCTAAGGATGGGTAATGGTCTGGAGAGGGAAGAGTCTGGGATAAGCATTCTGGGGAATTTGGGTGAGGTCTGCCTCTATAGCAAAAGGTGGGTGGTGTCTTCCTCCACAGGTAGCAAAAGGTCACAAAGTTGTTAAAAAATTCCACTCTCAGCTTTCTGGATGGAAGGCAGGTATTTGATTTTTATCTCCTCCACTGAGGAGACATGCCTGTGTGATTAACATTCCCGGGTCTCACAGTGCTTCTTTGTGAGTGTAAGGACCTCTGTGTCCACAACAGTGCATGCCCTTAGTCCCAGAGGTAGGCAAGCAAGATATCTGAGTTTGAGGCTATCCCGGTCTACAAAGCAAGTTCAGGACAGCCAGGGCTACACAAAAGAAAGGAGAAAGGAAATGAGGAAGGGAGGAAAGAAAGGAAGGAAATGAGGGAAGCAGGGAGGGAAGAAGGAAACAAGGAAAGAAAAGAAGGAAGGGAGGTTATATGTACAGAGTTATACCTTGACATTGAGGATGCAAAACAGAGGGTACATTTTTTTTTAAATCTTTATTGTGTTTTTGTAGTGTGTGTGTGTGTGTGTGTGTGTGCACATGTGTGCATATGTGTGTGGAGGCTGGAAGACAGCTGTGTTGATCATCAAATACCATCCACTTTATTCTTGAGACAGTCTGTCTGTCACTAATCTCAGTCTGTCTGTCACTAGTCTGGAGCTCATCAAGAAGGCTAGGCTGCCCAGCCAGTGAGCCCCAGGGATGTGCATGTCTCCATTTTCCAGGGCTGGAGGGAGAAGCATTTAACCACATCCAGCCTTTTAATGTGGATTTGGGGGATCACACTTAGGTTCTCATGCTTTGAAAGCAAGCGTTTTACAGACAGAACTATCTCCCCAACCTGAGGGTAAATCTTCATAACCCTGAAGTATACTTACAAAGAAATGGTCAGTGTTGCCTTTAGGTAGCTAAAATGTTCCAGATGTAGGATCCAGAGATTAGCAAACAAACAGATGCTACAGTGAAACCATCCACTGTTGCCAGCTTAAGAAGAGAGACTGTAGCACTTGTTGCGTCTACAGCAAGGGATGTGCTCTATAGGTGGAACTGGGTACGTATGGAAACATAAAGATGGACTTGTTGCCATAAGAGTTTGAAAGAGGACTGTCTTTCTTCTGCCTTCCCATCTGAAGGAAAACTTTCAAGGGTTGGAGGAAGTCTCACAAAGGCTCAGCTACTGGGAAAAAAATCTACATGCACTTAACCTACCATCCTAACACCTTAGCTACCTTGTAATGTCTTGCCATGGTGTGGCTGGTTACTCTATTGTGTATGGGGACAGACACTGCAGTAGCACGGAGCAGTGGTTCTCAACTTTTTTTTTTTCATTTTACATTTTTTTAATTATTTATTTATTTACAGTCCAGCCATTGCTCCCCTCCAATATCCCTCCTCCCACACTTCCTCATCTCATCCCTCCTCCCCCTGTCTCCAAGAGGGTACTCTCCCACACTAGGCCTCCCCACACCCTGTGGCCTCAAGTCTCTCGAGGATTAGGAGTGTCTTCTCCCACTGAGGCCTGACCAGGCAGTCCTCTGCTGTATAGGTGCTGGGGGCCTCGGACCAGTGGTATGGCTGGGTCTTCAGGTAGATTTAGTTCCAATTTTCTGAGGAACTGCCAGATTGATTTCCAGAGTGGTTGTACCAATTTGCAATCCCACCAGCAATGGAGGAGTGTTCCTCTTTTTCCACATCCTCACCAGTATGAGCTATCACCTGGGTTTTGGATGTTAGCCATTCTGATTGGTGGAAGGTGGGATCTCAGGATCATTTTGATTTGAATTTCCCTGATGACTAAGGACTTTGAACATTTCTTTAAGTGCTTCTCAGCCATTCAAGAGTCTTCTGTTGAGAATTCTCTGTTTAGCTCTGTACCCCATTTTTTAATTAGGTTATTTGGTTTGGGGGTGGGATTAACTTCTTATGTTCTTTATATATTTTGGATATTAGCCCTCTATCGGATATAGGGTTAGCAAAGATTTTTTTTCCAATCTGTAGGTTGCCAATTTGTCTTATTGACTCTGTCTTTGGGTCTCAACTTTCCTAATCCTGAGACCCTTTGATACAGTTCCTCATGTTGTAGTGACCCAACCATAAAATTATTTTCATTGATATTTTATAACTGTAATTTTGCTATTGTTATGAATAATAATGTAGATATTTGTTAGCCTATAGTCTTAGGTGACCCCTGTAAAAATGTTGTTTAACCCACAAAGGGATCATGACCCACAGATTGAGAGCCACTACTTTAAATAATTTACGTCCATTTGATTGGAGGGTATTTGGAGTCTTTAGGCCAACTAACTAGTTCAATCAGAAAACAAAGGCAAAACAGGTTGAGTCAACGATAGATTCATGCCAAAGCACTGAGTGAAATGTAGAGGGATTTAGAATACATCTGGAGCTTAAGCATCTGTTATATTATTTTTTTCACTTAGACTTTTCACTTGACTATTATGGTGTGTATGTATACAGTGTGAGGTTACTGTGAAAGAGCCTACAAAGGATCGTATGCTTGCTGGTTTGGTCTCCAGCTGGCAGTTATGTTATGGAAGACGATAGAGTTTTTATTACTCGGTGCCTCCTTGAAAGACATGAACCACTGCAGGAGGATCTGGGGTCTTGAAACCTGTCACTTCCTGCCCACTCTCTTCTTCTAGGCTGTGGAAGAATCACAGTGCTGCCATGCTTCCATGCATGAAGCATAAGCCAAAACAACAACCACCACCACAACAACAAACCACCAACAACAACCAACAACAGCAAAAACAAACAACCCCCTTTCGTCCTTAAGTTTCCCCTTGTCAGGTATTTGGTCACAAATAATGGGTTAAGTAACTAATAGAGAAAATTGTTACCAAGAAGTAGGGCCACATCATTATGATAATCATGGCCATAAAGAAGTAGACAACTTTAACTTTTTTGCAATGTAACTTTAATCAAAGCTTTACATATTTTTGTTTATAATTATACAATAATTATAAATATTTAGTTGCAAACTGATGACAAACACTATTTTGTTAAAAGGGTCTTGCATTTACAAAGAAAAATCTGTAAAGCTCAAAGCATTAGGCCACAATGGTTACTATGATTTAAAAAAAAAAAACAATTTTATGTGGTGGGGAAAGAAACTAATGAACTCTCATTTGAAAACAACATACTTGAATCAACCAATTCTGAAAACAATATCAGAACTCAAAGGATTCCACATACGGAATAAAAAATATAAAGATTTAAATATATATTTAAATTTTCTTAATTCAAGTTCTTTATATTTACAAAAATGAAATAAATACCAAAACAGCAAGATTTGTTTTTCTTTTAATTCCTGTAATGTATTTCCAAATTGTGTGGCTAATAACCAATTTTAATTATTTCCATGTCTGCATAACATATTCTGCTATCCTGAAGTTCATTCCTTTGAACCTGGAGAGGATCTGGACACCTGGAGCAAAATCTGCTCCTCCTGAAAATCAGTCATCCAACATTTAAATTCATCATTTTTTAACTTGTGTCTTAGAAATATTTATTAAGTAATTCACCCCTTTCACACATCAATATATTAACAGAAAAGCAAGCATTTTCAGCAGGAAAGAAGTCCATGGGTCCCATGACTGAAAAAAAAAATCAAGACAGCAATCTGCTTTGAAATAGAAATAGCAAATACAAAAGAGTGGAAAAATAGTCAAAAGCCCAAATAATTGATAAGAACAGAGGTCAGATTTGTATTTAACACCAGCACTTCCTTGTCTGAAAATCGCTGCAACACAGTGTTTCAGCAGTAAAGCCATTTCAACACAGTAAGAAGTTATTGAGGCTGGACTAATGCTTGTAAAAGCAGAGCCTGTATGAGAAAGGTAGAACTTCATGGACCCTCAGAACCATCCCTAACATTTACATCCTACTGTCTTCTTGCAGAGTAAGAGAATTTCACTGTGTACTATAGTATTATGACCAACAAAACAACAGCAAAACCCCAACATTTAGAATATTGTGTTGTACCATAATCTAAGACACTCAGAACAATGAAACAGTTTAACTTATTTGAAAGGCACAGGAACATTTCAAAAGCATCATGACATCCACCTATGTGGTATGTGGTGCAAATGAGAGTGGAATCTTGCTTCATGCCTTGTTACAATATTTTTAATAATAATCCCAGACTTGTTTTTGTGGAAGCTCGTGAAAGAATTAACCTCCTCAAGTGGAAGTTTTCCTTCTGTTGTCGTCTGTAGAGCTGGATTTGTAGATAGATACTACTTAAATTTGACTTCATTATGGAATATCTTTGTATTTCTCCATCTGATTGAAAATTTTGCTGGGTATAATAATCTGAGCTGGCAACTATGGTCTCTCAAAGTTTATAGAACATCCAACTAGGCCCTTCTGGCTTTTCAAGTGCTCATAGAAAAGTCATGTGTTCTAATAGAACTGACTGCCTTTATATGTTGTTCCTTGATTGTTTGTTTCCCCTTGCTGCTTTTAATATTCTTTTCTTGTTTCTGTACATTAAGTGTTTTTGGTTGGTTGGTTGGTTGGTTGGTTGGTTGGTTGGTTGGTTGGTTGGTTGGGTTTGGTTTGGTTGGTTGGTTGGTTGGTTGGTTGGTTGGTTGGCTAGTTGCCTGGTTTTGCAAGACAGGATTTTTCTGTGTAGCCCTGGCCATCCTGGAACTCTCATCTGTAGATCAGGTTGGCTTCAAACTCACAGAGACCTACCTGCCTCTGCATCAACTCTGAAAGCGCTGGGATTAAAGGAGTGGATCATCACTGCCAAACTAGAGTTCTGATAATTGTGTGTCATGGAAATTTTCTTTTCTGGTCACATTGTTTCCACTCTGAGGAAGCAGAGGGTAAACAAGAACTAACAGTATATAAAGCCTCCTTATATTCTCCCAGAAGCCCATTTCCACCAGCAAGATTCAACCTCCTAAAGAGTCCACAACTTTCCCAACACCACCACCAGCTGGGGAACCAAGTGTTTAACCGTGAAGTTATAGGGAGCATTTGATTCAAGTTGCAGCAGAGGCTTGTTTCTTAGCAAGACACATATGATATAAAATCGACATATCCTCACATTGGGGGAATTTCCCCTAGAAGATGTCAGTGAGAGGCAGGTGAAACAATAGTAACCATCTGTAGTTACTTCTCTCTCTAAGCTTACTACTGGATCACACTGGAGATGTAACATTTGTGTCTATCCTTCTTTAGGAGGTTGCACGGTTCCTCGATACCAAGCATCCAAACCACTATCAAGTCTACAATCTATGCAGTATGTACAAGACTCACTACTGGGATACTTTAGACAGAGAACAGATTGTTCGCAGACTCCGCTCCTGCATTTCATTTATTCATAAGTATTTAGTAGTGGGAAGTCAGAGTAAAATTTCCCATCTTGTATTGGCCTTATGTGATAGGGAAGTTAGCACAAAGTACCCTAGAAGAGAGGCTGAGGTGGGCCTGGAAAGACCAAATGGGCAGAGCAGAGGTCAGCCATGTTAGGGAATGCCTGTTCTAATGGTTCTAGAATAATACATTTATTCTTTATTCCTTCTATATTACACTGAAGGTGTAAAAATTAGCAACTCCATCTTCTAACCCACCTGGAGTAGGTATGATAAGGTGGAGGGCACTAGACTAAGACAAAAACTCCACCCTGTAGGAAGTAGATGGTACCTCAGTTTACTACCCCATCTCTGGTGTCCTGTTCAATGCCTATGTACTCAATGAACATTTTTAGGAGCTAGCAGCTCCGTTGGCTACATTTGTCTCTGTTCTGTGGTTTCTAATAGCCATGGTGATGTACTGAGAAGACACTAGAAAGCTAAAGGTGAAACCTCTTTTAAAATGATGTTTTCCCAGGGTGGATAATCACCAAACTTTTTTTTTTCAACTCTGAAATATTGTCTTTAGAGCAAACTGAAAGCTACTCCAGAAGATAAAGAATTTTCTAATTGAAAGTTTTAACCTGTTTATAACTTTATCATCTGCTATGTCACTAGGCATGGATAAATGACATGTGTACTATTTATTTTAGGTGAGAGATCTTATGACCCTAAGCGCTTCCACTACCGGGTCCGCAGAATCATGATTGACGATCACAACGTGCCCACTCTCGAGTGAGTCTTATGTCACTCTGACTGTCAGAAAAGGGATAAATACCTTGGGCCTGGTGTTTTAGAAGAGTATTATTTTGGAAATAATTTCATAGAATGAAAAATCTTCTATTTGAAATTAGGGAAATGTTGTTGTTCTGCAAGGAAGTAAGTGACTGGATGGCTCAAGATCCTGAAAACGTTGTCGCGATTCACTGTAAGGGAGGAAAAGGTAACACCACCTCTTTCTTCCATTTTCCATTTTGTTAAGAAATTGGAAAGAAGCTGGGCAGTGGTGGCGCACATGTTTAATCCCAGCACTTGGGAGGCAGAGGCAGGTAGCTTTCTGAGTTCCAGGCCAGCCTGGTCTATAGAATGAGTTCCAGGACAGCCAGGGCTACACAGAGAAACCCTGTCTCAAAAAAACAATACAAAACAAAAAAAAAAAAGAAATTGGAAAGGAATACTGTGTGCAAATGAAGGTGATTAATCAATATTAATCATTGACACTTTAAAATACGAGTTCCAACACCAAAGGAATGTAAGAAGGAAGAAACAGGGCAGCAAGAGGGAAAGAAAGGACAGGAGAGGAAGGCAAGAAGGAAAATGAGTTAAAGAAGGTTGGGAGTATTTTCCCCTACCTACTAAATTGGATTATTTTGCTTTTGGCTTGCTAATGTAAAATCTGTTAAAATACCAATGACATTTGAGGTAGAATAACACTTTTTATTTCAAGATGATAGTTTAATAGATTGTATATATTTATGATATGCGCTATATTTTTGTAGTTACATTGTGGAGTAGCTGGATCCAACTAATTTACATATATATCACCTTAGCATGCTTATTGTGGTCACTATGCTTTTTCTTGATAACTGGTGACAGTCAACATATTTATATACCTATTAGCCTTGTGTATGTTTGCTTTTGGAAATACCTTTTAATGCCTCTTTTTCCTGCTTGTTTTTATTGTTATTACTGTTATTTGTTTGGAGAAAGGTTTTTTGGGGACACTGTTTGTCACTAAACTGAGAGCTAGCTGTTTTGGCTAACAATCTCTTGGATCATGATTCCACACCCCAGTGCTTGGGTCAAGGTTAATACTGTTACAACAGCTTTTCACTTGACTTTTAGGGATGTAAATTCACACCCAGATGCTTTTTGCAAATCAAGAAATAAATCATCTCCACCAGGTCTCTATTTGAGTTCTTAAATTGAGTGCTACTATAAACAATAATTCTTTGAATGGCTTTCTTCTCTTTCTAGGAAGAACTGGAACCATGGTGTGTGCCTGCCTCATTGCCAGTGAAATAGTTTTAAATGCAAGGGTATGAAAAACCATCACTGTACTGCCTCGTGAGGATTGAATCCACTCCTTCTGAAGTGTTACTATAAAATGTTAGGGAGATTCTTTGAGTCGTGACTCATATAAGTTAAATTAGAAAGATGGTTTTTCAGAAACCACGGGTTTAGGACACCCTCATTTCATGTGTGAATAGTAGCTGGCCTATCTCTTGCTCTGGGCCAGCTCTTGGCTGAAGTCAGAGAGACACAACATTGAAGGGGCCGCAAAATATTCCAGTAATTAAAATTTGTCACATTTTAGGCAATATTTTAAAAAAATAAAATTAGTACAGCAATCATGATATATACAGTATCAACATTTTCATGGAGGCAGAGCCCAGTAGCTGCAGTATTAAGGTAAGAGAAGCTAAGCCAGGTCATACAAATATAAAAAGGCTGAGTTAGGCTTGTAGTTCCCTCACCCCATGCCAGAACTCCACACTGAAGATGATCTTAAATTCAAGGCCAGCTGTGCTATAAAAGGAAAAAGAAAAGACAAGAATATTTCACAGTGGTCAAAATGCTGCCCCTTTCTCTCACCACCAACCACATAGCTTCTTCCTTCTTTACCAGAATAATATAAAGATTAATTAGGTAAGTGCCCCCAAAGGATCCAAGCATCTTTACAATTGGTAAGTCATTCAACAGGATCACTTTCCAGCTCACAACAGCATCTGATTGTCTCTGCTACGTCAGAGTCAATGTATGGCAGACATAGGAGATGTGTAACCTCTCTAGAAATTTCTGAGGAGACAAGGTGGGCTGGTTCCAATTTCTTTAAAAATATTTTTTCTTTTTTACATCTATTTAGTGTGTGTGTGTGTGTGTGTGTGTGTGTGTGTGTGTGTGTGTGTGTTTGTGTTTGTCTGTCTGTCTGTCTATCTGTCTGTCTAGACAGCTTGTAGAAGCTAGAGGAGTTGGTTTTCTCTTTCCACTATGTGGGTTCTGAGGATCAAACTTGAGGTATCAGGTTTAGCAGCAAGCTCCTTTACCCACTGAGCCATTTTCTTTGTCCTATTTCAACTTCTTAAAATAGAATTCTCAGTCATTAGCCTACAAGGAGCTGGACGTTTAGCACTTACAGGATGCACTTATGAGTGTTCTGCTCGTCTCTCGTACAGTGTGTAGAAGAGACTCTGCTTTCCAAAACTGCACTTTTAGAATCTCAGCACCCTCTCTGTTTTTATAACTTGACACACAGGTTTTGAAAATGGGTACTATATCCTGGTTTTTGTAGCCCCTGGGGACTGTTGGTGATGCTATGCCTGCCCTAGGGCTGGGCCAGTTGATTCAATGCCTGGGGGCCGAGGGTACAGGTAAAAAAGAGATGTCCTGGGACAGTGATTTTTAAATCATAGATCAATAACTGATGAGCAATAAAATCAACTTAATGAGGGTCTGGGGAGATGGTTCAGTCGATAAAAGGCCTGTTGTACAAGCATAAGAACCTGAGATTGGAAACCTGGCAATCCAGTGTAATCAAATCAGTGAAGCCTGAGTTCAGTGAGAGACTGACTCAGAAAGTGGATCAGAAGGAGTGAGGAGATGGTTTTGTGGAGGGCCAAGAGGACCCGAGTTCAGATCCCCAGCACCTATGTAAAAAACGCCACGCACAATGGTATGTCCCTATAGCTCCAACAAGGGAGGGACTGTCGAAGGAGGGCAGGCCAATTCCAAAAGCATGCTAACCAGCCAATCTAGCTGAACCAGTGAGCTCCAGGTTCAGTAAGACCCTGCAGTTAGCTTACCCCAATTCCCTGGCCAGAATCTGGCCTGTTTCCTGTTTGGAAATGGAAGGTAGAGGGGTTGACCAGATGGCCCCTAGCTTTTCCCGATTTAGCATCCTGTGTATTTATGAGTCTTTGGTTTCACAAATACATGTCCCTCATGTGCCATCCTAACTCTGCCATTTTGGGTAGCCTCTACCCAGAGACAGTCAACTTCAAGAAGCCTGACTTCAAGATGACCTGCAGTAAGAAAAACAAGAGTGCCGCCAAACCATGGTTGTGTTGTCCCCTTTCCCATAGGAAAGTCTGTACTTTTTTGGGGAGCGACGGACAGATAAAAGCAACAGCTCTAAGTTTCAAGGAATAGAGACCCCTTCTCAGGTAAGATCTCTGTTTTGAGGGTTCTGCGGGAGGGCAAGAGGCATCAGCATTCGTCATTCCTCCCATGTCCCACCCTCCCGGCTGATAATCACGTGGCAGTGCTCAGGTGCCCTGGGCCAGGCCTTGCTCTCTCCCTGAGGCTCAGAGCCCCACCTCAGATGCCAATCCTTGCGATCTGCCCAGAACAGTCTATCTCACATTTTATATTTGTTATTGTTTCTAGAGGTCAGAAACTGATTTGCCCTCCCAAGGTAGGAGGGTCCTGAGGTCTAACCACCATATAAAGTTTACTCCACAATTCCCTGAAAGGAATTCTCTTTCATAGGCACCTATTCAGACTTACAAACAATTCAATTCCTGAAGAACAGTCACAGGAACTGTTTCTGGATGATTCGTGTGTGTGTGTGTGTGTGTGTGTGTGTGTGTGTTATGGTATGTGTGGTGTAATGTGTTTATGTGTGTGTGTTATGGTATGTGTGGTGTAGTGTGTTTATGTGTGTGTGTGTGTGTGTGTGTGGTGTATTGTGTAGTGTGTGTGTGTGTGTGTGTGCAAGGAGGTAGGGAGAGAAATTGTATTTTAAAGAAGAAAGAGCCGGGCAGTGGTGGCACAGGTCTTTAATCCTAGCACTTGGGAGGCAGAGACAGGAAGATCTCTGAGTTCAGGGCCAGCCTGATCTACAGAGTAAATTCCAAGACAGTCAAGCCTACACAGATAGAACTTGTCTAGAAAAATAGATAGATAGATAGATAGATAGATAGATAGATAGATAGATAGACAAGAATGAGAATAATAAACGCCATTGTGAGTCAGTGACAGCTTATGCCTATAGTCCTAGAGAGAGGCAGGAAAATCTCAGTTTTGAAGATCACCTAGACAAGACCTTATCACAAAAAATAATTGCATATCAGATAAGGTTGTATTTCATACGTGTGTGTCTGTATCTAGATATCACATTAGAGTCTACACACCATTATAAAATATTTGCTGTTGCCTTTTGTTCTCTCAAAACCAGTTTACTATGGAATTTTCCAAACAGAGTGTGCTAGTGAGAATTGCTGGTGCTCTGGTAAATATGCAATGAAGCAGTTGAAGGTGGGCTGCTTGTCTGGCTCAGTTTCCGCTCATTTCCTCCCATCTCGTTGGGCCTGATGGAGGCAGTAGATGAGGGAGCTACTGTAAACCATAGTGCGTGCGCGCACACACACACACAGAGGCACACACACACACACAGAGGCACACATATTCACAAACACAGGCACACATATTCACAGACACACACAGGCACACATACACACAGATACACACATACATACACACTCAGGCACACATATACACAGGCACAAACATACACACAGGCACACACATTCACACATAGGCACATACACAGGCACACACACATATACATGCAGGCACACACATAATACACATTGCATACACAGACACACGTGCATGTGTGCACACGCATGCACTAGAATAAAGCCCTTTACAGCCATCAACTACCTCAGAAGACATTTCAGCTAACCATCAGCCACAATCTTTCTCGACCTTCTCTCCTCAAACCCATGGTCACCACTATCCACACTTTCTTTCCCTAAGCCTTTTTTTGAAGGAAATTCCATTGACATATCATTTTTATCCCACAAGTATTTCACTGTGACACCTGACATAGGACCCTCTTAAAAACACCTCAATACCCACCAGACATGATGGCATGCGCCTCCAATCCCAGTGCTCAGAAGGGAGGCTGGTAGATCTCTGTGAATTCAAGGAGACCAGTCCACTCTACATAGAGAGTCCCAGGGCAGACAGAGCGACACAGAGAGACCTTGCCTCAAAACAAAACAAAAATCTCCTCAGTACCATTTATCAAGGTTCTCAGTGCAAGGACTCAGCTATAGGTCTGAGAGGTGCTGGCAAGGTCATGAAATGGGGCGGGGAGCCCTGTGTTGGGTGGTGGCACTTACACACATCACATTCACTTTGGGTTACTCTACTCGCCACGTGACATCCACTTCCCAGCTAAGAACTTGTAGAAACCTTTCTTATAACTGTCATTTCTTTTTTTAAGATTTTTTTATTGTATATTTTATTTATTTACATTTCAGATGTCATTCCCTTTCCCCATCCCTCCCCCAGAAACCCCCTATCCTATCCCCCCACCTCCTTCTTGCTTTTTTTTTATTAGTATTTTAAGTTAACATACAAAGTACTGGGTTTTATTACAGCATCCTCATTCATGTGTCATTAGAGTTCTGATTTGTTTCCCTCTGCCCCTTCCCTTTATAACTGCCATTTCTTTTTTAAAAATTAATGTTTTGGGTTAACATCCAAAGTAATCGATTCTGTCATGATGTCTTCACATACATGGCATGTTCTGTTCTCATTCATCCCTGCCCCTGAGCCCACTGTCTTTACCCATAGCCCAGCACCCTCTGGCTCAGTTCCTTTATTCCTCAGCTAGTACCTTCCTCCTCCTGTCTTCTTCTTATAGGTATTCTGTGGTTCTCAGTGTGTCTCCGTTCCTTTGAGATCTTGTCTTCTCCTTCTATGATACCCTTTCTAGTTTCATGAGTTATATAATACATATACAAACATGTAAACACACACACACACACCATATGTAATGTTTAATTTAGATTCTGTATAAAGAGAAAACATGACAGGCTCAGAAAGACACATAACTTCCATTTCTCTTTATTTCTTTTATTCTTTCTCTTTCTGTGTGAGTGTGTGTGTGTGTGTGTGTGTATGTGTGTGTGTGGTAAGTGCATGTAATGTGCATACACATGTGTTGTGTGTACGTGTAGAGGCAGAAGAAGGCACCAGGCAATCTCCTCTGTTGCTCTCCACCTTGTTCTCTTGAGATGTGGGGCCTCTCAGTGAACCGGAAGTCTGATGCTTGGGTTAGGCTGGGCAGCAAGTGAGCTCCAGGCACCTATCTGTCTCTGACCGCAATGCTGGGATTGCAGGAATGCACAGCCAATCCTGGATCTCTTTGACATGGATTTTTGAGATAAAAAGTTAGTTTCTCATGTGTGCTTAGCAAGTGCTTTTATACACTGGGACATCTCACTGGCCCCAGACTTCCATTTCTAATAGCATGCATGGTTGTTAATTTTATTAGCGCCTCCAAGTTTGTCCAATACCTTGAAGAGATGTTTCAACTTCTTGAAGAAAGATCCAATGAAAGTCCTGTGAACAACACTCCATGGGGACAGTATGAGGCTTAGGGATCCCCAAGGATTCCTCCCAAAAACAATACAAAGTAATAGAGAGCGGCTGGAGAGCTGGCTCAGTGGCTCAGAGCACTGACTGCTCTTCCAAAGGTCCTGAGTTCAATTCCCAGCAACCACATGGTGACTCACAACCATCTGTAATGGGATCTGATGTCCACTTCTAGTGTGTCTGAAGACAGCTACAATGAACTCATATATTTAAAGTAAACAAATAAGTCAGAGAGGGGGGAGCAAGAAAGGAGACAGGATTATTAATGCCAACCTTAAACTTTTCCTCCCCACTTAAATTGAGGCTTCTGTTGCTTTGCAGAATAGATATGTTAAATATTTTGAAAAACTGAAAATTAACTACCAACTGACTCTCCCTCCAAAAAAAACACTGGTGATAAAAAGATTCGTTGTCTATTCCATTCACGGTAAGTGCTTTGTTCAGAACTGAGGGGTTGGGCTGAGGGCCAGCATTTTCATGCTGGGGGCGCATAGTTGTCTATTTACAATGTCTCACACATGAACTCTACCTCTGCAGTTAGTCACAGGCTGTACGAGGATTCAGTGACAGCTCCTAAATGTCCCTCTCCTCCCTTCCCTTTCCTTCATCAGTTGATGCAGGGCGGGGGATGGGGGTTGGGGAGGCCTCCCTTGTCCCTTCTCCTTGCTTCTCTGACCTCAGTCCAGGGTAGACATTTGGGGCCCAACCTTAGTAGAGGATCAGGGAAAGAAGATCACCCTGGGTACTTAGCAATGTCTCTTTCCTTCCTCATTAGGGTTCACCTTGCAGAGGCATCTCTGTAGTTTCCTCACCTGACCGTTTGGAGACCTTTTTCTCTTATCCTCTGATCTTTATGTACCCCTTCTCTTCCTACTAGAGCCTCTGCTGCATCTCCACCATGATGCTTTAAATACCCAGGCAGCTTTATTATAGTCATGTGACTACTATAACTACAAGGCTGGCACCTCCTGCCCTTTAGAAGTTCTTGGGTAGATTCTGCAGCCTCAGATTCCCTGCAGTTGTGGGTCTCTGTGCTAATTGCCACCTACAAAATAGTGGAACAGTATATCTCCAAGAAGATACCCAGCACTACACACACACACACACATACACACACACACACATACACACACACACACACACATACACACACACAATGTATGTATGTATGTATGTATGTATGTATGTATGTATGTACATCACTCCTCCACCACCCCAAGGCTCAAAGATTATTGGGAAAGAGGAGACAGAAAGAGTGTAAGAGCCAGCCAGAGGTTGTGGGTGACTGCAAGAAACCAGTGTCTTCTGAACAGAGTGGGAAAGTTGCACATACGAACTCACAGTAGTTATAGCTGTGTGCCCAAGACTTGTGCGCGCCCAGACCAGACCAAATCTCAGCATGCAGAGGCATGTTGGACATGAAATCCTATCCCTAGCTGAGTAGAAATAGCCAATTGATAGCTGCTGGGAGCAGAGTCAGTTTTCTCTGAGAGTGTTGCCCCTGGTAAGTCAGCCACGGTCCAGAGGAAGACCTCACATTCAAGAATATTTGGGAAGCACAAACAGTCTTGATAGGTTTAAATTTTAAAAATTAGATATAAGTAGGGTTTGAAAGGAGTGGTCGTAGGAGGGTTGGTAGCAGGAGATGACTATGATCACAGTAAGTTAGATGGTATTCTCAAAGAATGAATACAAATATTTTCAAAAAGAAGTTTCCTGTGTGGTTGGTAAAGGAGGGAAATAGCCAGGAGAGTCGTGGAGCACACACACAGGGTGGGAAATGAAGAAGGACGGCTTCTGAAGCACCAGCCCTTGCTTCCTCTCTACCTGGCTCTACATAAAGATGGTGAGGGTTAGGATAAAAAGAGCTCTGTCAGGGTGTCGTCTATCCTCTCAACTGCTACAAAGAATTACCAGTAGCCAAAATCCTTATCTTCCATGAAGCTATCATTTGTTCTGGAATGTCAGAGGAGAAACTTCCATGAAGCTATCATCTGTTCTGGAATGTCAGAGGAGAGACGCTGTGACTGAGATCCACCGTCACCCATGGAAGAAAGGAGACCTGGTTAACATTCTACCTCTGAGAGATGAGGAGAGATGGACACATCTGTATTTATTTCTCCATCACTCTCCGTGCCTCAACTTCCTCTTTGTTATCAGTGCCCACAAGCAAACCTCACTCTCAGGCAATATGGAAAAGCATGAATGCCTTACTCAAAGGCATAGGGCTGCGCCATTTCCCCTGCCAACAAAGCAGCTACAGGCATCACTTCTGAACCTTTAGAGTCTTGTGTCAGCTAGGTCATGGACCAAGCAGAGTCCTAAGTGCTGGATGCCATGGGGACCATTACCAGCACTAGCATCCTGCAGAAGGCCGAGGATGTCTAGCCTTCTGAGCCACACAAAACAAGATCTAGATGCATAGCCTCTGATTCTGCCATTCTAAGATTGTTTACATACACTTGTTTATGTTGGAAATTTTAAGGCATTCCTACAGATTTTTGTAGATTTCTCTCTTCTCTGAATAAATTTCAACCTATTGTTTCTGTGTAGATTTCTAACAGAGCACTATGTAAGAAGCCTCCTGTCCTAGCAGGAGAAGGCCTGGGTGCTTATGTGAGTACCTGTCTGTGGAAAGGCTTTGAGGACTGCAAAGTCCACTGTTAATGCTTCCTGGGACCTGTAAGACCCACGTGAATTATGTGGGGAAGGTGATAACATCTGCCTCAGTGGCTGGACTCACTATTTCCAACTGTGGTTAGACCCCACCTAAGAGAGAATAGAGGCTGCCTTGTCCAGTGGGCGATAGAAAGATGGCCACCACAGTACCTCCCTTGACTTTCTTTCCATAGGTGTCAGGGCCCAGAAAGAAGATACATATCGCTGTATTCCCTACCACAAAAAGTGGCACCTTCTGCAGGTGGAACAGTTTCTTTTACTAAGAAATTTAAATGCAACTATAAAATCAAAGCTAGCTACATAAGAGACTGTTTAATATTTGAGTGTATTCTATGCCCCAACTTCCTCTTCATTATCAACGGGCAATAGCTCATCTATACAAACACCTGTGAGCACTAACTTACTATGTAGCCAAGGGACATTTAGTCAGACAAAGGTTTTGATGCAGTTCTCTAATATGAACATCACGAATAAAAAATTGTTCCTTAAATAAGCTGATTACAAAGGTTCTAATAAGTTCCAGTATCTCATACTCAACCTGATATCTGATCATGAGACTACAATTTCCCTCAATGATATTTTCATGTTTATTCAAACCCTGTGGAGACATTGTTGACTTAAAACTATAAAGTTTTATAGTTTTATTCAAAGACAAGAGGAAGTAACACAAACTTACATGAAATTCATGTGAAGTCTGGCCGGACATTTCCTGGACTTGATTTCCTAATTTTTATTTGATGTAAATCAAGGGGCCTTTACCATCCAGTAAGATTGCTCGTGAAGGCTTGTGGACAGGAGCTTGAGTTTATGGTCCTAGTCTTACAAATGGGATTGGTCAAGCTTTACAGAACAGACTCCAGGAGGTCTATATGTCAGCGTAGCATTTATGTCACAGCATCCTTGGCAATAGCCAGTCTTATTTTTGGATAAAAATAAACTTCCCTTAAGGAATCAGGACAAAGCAGAAACGGAATGGAAGGGGAATATGTAAGACTCAAAAGTAGTCTTGCGAAGCGTGGCTGCTCTCGAAACCGGAAGTCTTGTGTAGCGCGGATGCTCAGGGTTATGGAGTCTTCCATTCCCTTTGAGCAGTTTTATAATTCCTTACTTTATAGAACATTGACAACACAGATAATTTGTCCATAGAAATGTTGTGCCCAGTAGCTTGGCAGAGTCCCATCCGTCCGTCCTTACTTGCCTGCTCGGGAGTGGGGCTTTGAGCACTGTACCATCGTCCACTGTACTGTTCCCTCACTTTTAATTCGTCAAACCCAAATTCTGACAAAGTCCAAGGTCATCATATTGTATGAAGCTATTTCTGTAAAACAGAAGCGGGTGTGCATGTTCACATATTTATGGGAAATGAATATTCACAATTGATTGTTTTTTAAGACAAATCAAAAATTTTGATTTTATGTATTTGGAAGGATGAAGGATGAAACAGGTGAAAAATGAGTAAGGCAGAGATTTTCCACTTTATAGGAGTTTTGTTTTATGTTTTTCTTTTGTGTTTTTAAGACATGAAGATCTGTTTACTCAGTTTGAAAAATTTAAGTATGTGGGGGCTTAAGGGCTTAGACGAACCCCCTTTGTTATCATGTGATAAAATTTTATTAACTTCATATAGTTTTATTTTTAATTCTATCATCTGCATTCACTTCACATGATACTGAGTTAACATAAAACACTTTCATACAAGTACATACCAGTTTTATATTGTGTTTGTCTCTGGTAGACAGTAGTAGACATTTGATAGTGAATGGCCGGAGACCACAATTCATGATGATTTAGTAAGATGGTGTTAACGAAACATTAAATGTAAAGAAAACAAAAATGTTAGGTGGACCATCAAAATTACTGTGATGTTATTAGAATATTTGTTAGAGCAAAATATGGAAGAAAGTCAGTTGGAGGCTTCCAGAATGATATATTTAAGGGAGTGATAGAGGAAGGGGGCCATTAGAACTAGAAAGAGGAACATAAGGCCATTTGTTTAAACAGTATACTGAGTACTAAAGGAAGTCTCAATATGGCCACCCTGAACTCTCCTAGAGATTGCTCTGGGAACCGGACTTAGGGTAGAACAAGAGGAACTTAGACAATTAACTTTAACTGTCATGACTGAAAATCCAAGAAAGTTTCCAAGCCTCCTCCTTCCCTGGATATTTCCCTAGAAGGACAAAACAATGAAATTCTAAGTTGTATAAACTAAATTACCTCTCTCTCTCTCTCTCTCTCTCTCTCTCTCTCTCTCTCTCTCTCTCTCT